GCATATACTGTATTATTATATACTATCTGCTATATGCGGCGTGTATAATATACATAATAAGAGTGTAACATAATAATACAATTTACGCAATGAGGAAACACGCAATATCCAACAAACATAATGATATATAGCACACCGTTAACATATTATAACAAACACAATGTGTAATAACCGCTATTATTATCAGAAAACAGCAGAACTACACTCTATGGTGCAAACACAATAAGCCAACAAACACAAATAACTAAATCCTGAGCACACGTAATAATTTAGAGACTAGGCGCCTAAATCCTGAGCACACGTAATAATTTAGAGACTAGGCGCCTGACACCCTAATCTAATTCACGCAGAAGTGCTGATGACTTTGGGGGAAGATAGCCAAAGCAAGCAAGAGATGTTTTTCCGCGCCGGGAAACATTTTGCAATGCAACCATGGAAGCAGCGAATGCTTATATTGTATTCAGTTGCTGCCGTAATGTCTGCATAATGTCCGCCCCGGGGCTGACCCTGTCGTTGTAGTCTTCTGTCTTCATATCAAAGCATTTTTTGGTTTTCTCCCTTATAATAAAATTATTATTTTTCTTCTTCTTCTTCTTCTTCTTCTTCTTCTTCTTCTTCTTCCTCGTTTCTTTCTTCTTTGCTCACCCGGTCTGCAGCGATTCAGATCATCAACAGTTTAGCAGCGCGCGATAAACCCGTGTAGGGTTATTACACACACACACACACACACACACACACACACACACACACACACACACACACACACACACACACACACACNTCTCGTTCGTACTTCCTCGCTGCTCTGGATCCCGCTTTAGCTCTCTTTGCAGCTCTCTCGTCGATGGCGCCGCTAAGTGATCTTAATATAGCTATACTTCCAGCTAATTTAAGCTAAAAGGTACTAACAGGTTATTATACTTTAGTATTTGCTGCGTTCTGCTTTTCGGGTACTATTATATTAGCCGAGTCGTCTCTGAGTTTGAATAAATGGGCAAGGTGCATAAAGTGACAGTGCGATTTTTGCTGCTATAAATGGATCAGCTCGTTGACTATGAACTACTCTCTATAAGCTCCCTGCGAGGCTTCTTCATGCTCTCTCCTATCATCTCATTCTGCGGTCTAATATCTTGATTATATCTGGCATGTATCTTCGTGTGCCTATCAATTTCAATCTCTTTATATAGTGAGTTATATACAAAATTTACGCCTTATGGTCGTTCCTTATGCTCCCCCCTCCAAATATCTACCCAAGTCGACAGCTGAGCTGTCGCACTAGTTATACCGCTGATAATGATTTTCCATGATCTTTATATACTATTTTATCCATTGCTGCGTACTCTCTCTTGCAATTTCTCTTTTTCGGGTATTACTTATACGTCTCCAGTTAGCAGTGCGGTTTCTTCTTTCTCTTATTACCTAATATTACCTGATTGTATAGTGTGTTTCATGCTATTATTTACTTATTAGTTTCTCGTTATATTACATACCAAGTACTTGTTGTATTATTATTACTTCATATTCCCTCTTATTAATTCGTTGATTATTAGATTATATTAAGGAGCCTCTCTTAGCTATTTAAATTACTTCTTCTCATGCCCTTATCTATTCGGCTGTTCTTTATCTCATATCTTATATTCTCGCTGTATAGTGCGGCCTCGTCGCTCCTGCTTATACTATACATGAATAGGGTCTCTCTTGTCATTGATGAATCATCTCGTTTACGCTAATATTAAGGTGCCTCATGCTACTCATCTACAACAGCCATAGCAATAATTTATTATAGCACTCACTCCTCTGTTAGTAATTATGTTTAATATAACGAAACACAATTCGCCTGTGCTAACCGCTATTATTACTCAGAAAACAGGCAGAACTAATGGGTTGCAAAAACACAAAATAACTAAATCTTGTAGCACACGTCAATAATTTTGCGATTAGGCCGCCTCTGTACGGCCCCCGTATCTAATTCACGCAATCGTTTGCTCGCTTGCGCTGGATGGCGTGTTGGCGTGCGCCCGATTTGTAGCCACTGCACAGTCAAGAGATGTTTTTCCTCTTTAATCCTTCGCTCGTCGGCGCCGGGAAACCAATTTTGCAACTGCAACCGTGGAAGCACGCGCGAGAATGCTTATATATGTATTCAGTTGTGCCGTAATGGTCTGCGCATAAATGTCTGGCTCAGTGGGCTGACCCTGGTCTGGTTGACATATCAGAGGCTTCTTAATCTTCCTTCTGCTCTTCTCTCTTCTTCTTCTTCGTTCTTTGCTCTTCTTTTCATATCATGATTTTATTTTTTTCATTGCTACTTTCTTCCTTCTTCTTTGTCTTCTTCTTTCTTCTCTTCTTCTTTTTCTCTTCCTCTTCGTGTCTTTTCTTTCTTTCTCGGCTTCTACGCCTGGTTTGCCCAGGTCGATTCATGATGGCTATCACACAGTTTTGCAGCGCCACGATAAACCCGTTGTTGAGGTGCGTTTTTACACACACTTGCACACCACACACTCCATCTACACACCCCAACCATCTATCCGCTTTCTGGGGCACCGCTGTTACGCACACTACATCATACACCTCGCATATCGCACGCAGCGCCGGCGGCGCTAGACTCTACGCGATCGCACGTCACGCGACGCTCACCGCACGCGCCAGCAAACCTACTCACGACTCAGTACTTATTATAGTGTTTATCTCATTCTACTATGGTGTGTGTAGTTAGTATATATATTTGAGTACTCGCCTTTATTAGTCTACGTATAGCTTAGTAGTATGATATATTATAGAAAGAGAAGACGAGAAAGATACTACTAGTATATATACTCTTTTATATTATTATTTTAGCCTCATCTCTATATAGAAGAGAGAGAGAGAAAGAGTACAGTATATATATATATATATCTCTAGTATATATAAATATATAATTAGATATATATATATATAATTAGAGGTGGCTGCTACAGGTGATCTACTTCGTGTCTCTCTTGCAGTGGGACCTTGTGTGTGGCAGAGCGTGGCTGGTAGCTACAGCACAGATGCTCTATTTCGGAGGATTTTTAGTCGGATGCGTCATATTCGGTTCCGTCTCAGACAGGTAATCATCGTCAAATCTAAAAATAAAAATAATAATTATTATTATTATATTATAATTATTATTATTATTATTATTATTATTATTATTATTATTATTATTATTATTAATATAATATTTAATACTATATACCGGCTGACATGTAATCATAACTAATACATATAATATATAAATAAATATAATAATAATATTTAATATATTTAATATTTTAATATTTTTTATTATTATTAATTATTATTAATATAATATTATTAATATTATTTTATTAATATAGTAATAATCATAATCAGATTATTGTCATCTTGAAATGCATTACATTATTTATCTAAATAGTATTTATAGTATATATATATATAATTATATATCCTATATATAATGATGTGTGTGTGTGGCGTGTGCGTGTAGACCGCGCGCGCGGTGTGTGTGTGTGTGGTGGGTGGTGTGTGGGTGGGTGGTGTTTGTGGGTGTGGTGTATGTGTGTGTGTGTGTGTGTGTGTGTGTGTACGCGCGTGTGTGTTTGCGTGCGTGCGTGCGCGCATGTGTGTGCGTGCTTGCGTGTGTGTGTAATTTCGAAAGCACCCGAACCGACATCGATCACCGCGATCATCGAAAGACCAAACATCTAATCGATTATCTAATCGATTATCCGATTGATTGTCTAATAGATTATTTGATCGATTGGCCAACCGATTATCTAATCAATTATCTGATCGATTGCATAGTCGATTATCTGATCGATAATCGGACCAAACATCTAATCTATTATCTAATCGATATCTAATCGATATACAGGATCGGCAGGCGTTTGACGATGCTCTTGGTGCTCTCTCTCATGACGGTGCTGGGAGCAGTGAATGCCTGCGCGCCACACTACCTCGTCTTCATCGCTCTCAGATTCCTCGTCGGTTCAACGTCTGCCGGAGCCATTTCTACTGCGTTCGTCTACGGTGAGAGGGAGAGGGGGAGGAGAGGGAGTGGGGGAGAGGGGGAGGGGGAGAAGGGGAGAGGGGGAGAGGGGGAGAGGGGGAGAGTGGGGAGGAGGGAGAGGAGAGGAGNAGAGAGAGAGAGAAAAAGAAGAGAGAGAGAGAGAGAGAGAGAGAGAGAGAGAGAAAGAGCGAGCGATAGAGATAGAAAGACAGACAGACCAAAAAAAGAGAGAGAGAGATAGAAAAACAGACAGAACGAGAGAGAGAGATAGAAAAACAGACAGAACGAGAGAGAGAGAGAAACTGTGTGGGAGAGAGAGAGAGAGAGAGAGAAGGAAAGAAGAGAGAGGGAGAGGGAGAGGGAAGAGAGACAGACAGAAAGAGAAAGAGAAAGAGAGAGAGAGAG